TTCTTAGGTTTCTAAAGTAATTTTTGCTACAAAATACTCTTAACTTCTTTCCAAAGGTGCCTATATTATTTATTTTTCTAATCTACCTTATTTTGATTTATTTTTGGTCCTGTAAAGTGAATAGAAGCCTATTTTACAAAAAGGTAGGATTAACACCTTTAATTTTTCTACTCCTTGACTATTATCTATTTTTTTAAGATAATTTGTTACAATATATTTGAAATAAGATCTTCAAAAATATGATATTTTCTTCATCCTTTCATCTATTAGTCATTTTACATCATGACAACATGTCTTGCAAAGTCAACATGTTTTGAAGGTCCTATAGGACATTGCCACGTAGCTCCTAGTTAAGAGTATATATGGAGGCAAGAGTAAAGTCTTCTTCACTCTTATCAATGCCTTTCTATTCCTTAGTCTTATTTCAAGACTTTCTAGTTATCTTAGTTTTAGAAATAGCTATTTTAATTTAATATTATATCACCTTTTAAGTAACTTTCTAATTCTCTTTAATGACACAAGAGTGTATTGAGGATTTTCTTTCTTTAAGATTTATGTCTTTGACAATAGATTAAGAACATTTTTTCTAATTTGTAAAGTAGATTATCTTTAAATCTTGTGTATTTATTATTAAATAATAAATTAATTTTTTAAAAAAATAAATTAAAATAAATTATTAATATAACAATAATTGAAGTTTGAAATCTCATATGAAGATTACTTAGGATTTTACTAGAACTTATTATGGTTTACTTGAGATTTGGTTAGGAATTTTAGGATTTTCTTAAAATTTTATCAAAGTTTAATTAAGATTTATTAAATTTTTATTAATATATTTTTATAATTTTTTTATAATTTCTTATGATTTTATTAAAATTTAATTTTTTAAGGATTATTTAAATTTTATTTAAATTTTAATATAATATAATAGAATTCTTTAGATTATTTGAAATTTCTAAGGTATTTTTAAACAGCTTATATATTATTTTTTGGATTGTAAATCCAACTCTAAGAAAAAATCATAATTTCATATAAGCAAATGCCTAGTTTATTTTTAGGTTAAATTTTACATAACACAACATTGTGACTATTGTATTTTGTTTTGGCAATTACAAGAAAAAAATTAATTCTTAATGTTATAAAAATCATATGTTTGATCATGCTAAATACCAATAAATTTTGCATACTTGATTTACTAAAGAAATATTTTTTAAAAAAATTACAAAAGTCACAATATATGAATTCAATAGTCAATAGAATTCAATAGTCACAATGTTTTTTAATACAATTAAAGTACAAAAGATATCAAAGATGGAAAAGAAGTTTGTTAATGATTGGATAGCTACTTAGAGATTATCTTTAGGAAATATAAATATAAGAGTCAAAGTCATGGCTTGATATATGGCCTCAAGACTAATTTATAGGCCTTGAGTATGGATAACAATTTATAAGTGCAATATTATTCTTAAAAGGCTCAATAGCTTTTGAGTCTTGATAAGTCTACCATACACAATATTTGACTCTATTAGCAGCAAATTTATAAAGACAACAAAGAAAATTGTGACTAATGGAGGAGCAACTTACTTGTGTTGTTGGCTTTTTTTAATGATGGCTTGAAGGTTGGATATTTTACAAATTGTATCATGTAATGAAGATGATTGCTTAATTAAAAATTCTTTCTTGTTGTTTAGATGCAATGTTGTCAAAGGCTTCATTTACCACTAGGTTTACTAAAATATTATTTAGGTGGTTAAATACCATTAGAATATGAATTCTATAGTAACTAACTTGATGTATATAATCAATATTTCTTCTTCATACAAGTAAAAAGTTGTAGCAAATAGAGATTCATTGCATATAGAGATGTGCCTAACAAATAGAATCTTTTATGTAGATGATTCTCCTTTGATTGATGACTTTTGAATACTTTGGATTTTCCTTGAATTTGGCCTATAGACCACTATAAATCCTTCAATATCATATTGGACTTAGTGTATTTGTTCCTATCTTTTAATTGATTAGAAAGACAATCTTTATAAAGTATATGTTCTTTTCTATTATGTCTTTAATTAATTTAAATTTTTTTTAGATTATTTATGTATTTTTTCTTGGTTTATTTTAGTATAGTACACTTCTTTATTTTATGTTTTGTATCAAAGAAAAATCTATATTATACATATAAGTTGTTATAGTTAATAAAGATTAGTTTCTTCTTCATAGTGATTGGATTCAATACTTGTACTTCTAGCTTCAATCTATCTCTAGATTTTAGAACCATGCAAAATCTTAAATCATGAATTTGTAGTTGTTTAAGTTAGTGCCAAGAACTCAGCATAAAGAAGCTATTACTCAAGGAGCTACTTTTTTTTTAATTCATTTGATAATTCCTTCAAAATTATTTAAGTAAAGACCTTAAAGGCTCCCATGCAACTTTATAGGTTGGAATTCCAAATAGCCTTGGAATCAATGTTATAGTCCTAGTTTTCAAAAATACACAATCATATTGAGGTGTTATAAAGTAAAAGAAGTAAGCTATTTATAATTATTACTATTGATTTTGATTACAAATAAAAGTGACTTTTGCTTAAGTTTTTTTCTTATTTCAATGTATCTACTTAAATCTTTTTCTAGTTGGCTTATCAATGACTCAAAATATTAGAAGGGAAGGAAAGGGAGATTTTCCACCTACAAAGCAAGTAATTGCATCATGAATAGAAATATTTTCAATTTTGGTACATACTATATTGTTGTCCACCTTCAATCAACCTTGGGGTGATTTTCACTAAAAACTTGATTAGTTCCATTCAAAACCATGAGGTAATATCTCACCTTCAAATAGGCACAATGAATGGGATCTATTTGCAAATTTAAGAGCACCTAGAGCTTAGGAAAGAGCTACTTCTTTCAGATTTAGGCGCTCAAACATTCCATCCGCCATAGATGTGCCATTCCTCATCTCCCAGCTTCTTCATTAACCAGCCAAAACGCAATCTATACAAGTGCCCATTTAATCCTAAACTTGCCCTATCCCTGAAATGTTTCTTTCCTTAGTGACAATTAATCTGCTTCCTTTTGAACCACATGTCTAATTCCTCGTCCAAGGAAGCAGAGATCATCTCTACTCTACTCAGATTCTAAAGTATTGTGTATTCGAAGCAAAAGCCATGGCTGTGGATCAAAAAAATTGTGTGAGGCGCGGATTGGGCAGCGTCTGTGGTCGCTTCCATTTGTCCCAGGTTCATCACTCTCTCACTGCCAACAAATGCTGCTCCTTTACGTATTGAAGCAGTCGGAGAATGAGCGCCAGAGCTGGGCGAATTCCAACGCGAAGATCGCCGATATACAGGTGCATGCGGATCTCGCCGACCTAAAAGGCACCTAGCGCGGACATGAACACGCAGCAGTCCTGCAATCTTGACCCCATGGGTCACTCTTCATTTGTTAATAAGGCTCACTAGACCCTAGAGCTCGTACATCTCCAGCTTTCGCTAATCGCTTGCCATACATTTACATAAGGACCCAGACTTTTTCAATCCAGATCGGTTGGATCCTGAAAACGAAGAAACGAAAAGAATATCATAGGTGGCATAATCTCATGTATGTGTTTCGGCGGGGGTCATCACAGCTGTCTTAGAGAAACTTACTTACATACAGATGAGTGCCATTTCCATTAGTAGTTATAATTTTATGATTGTTTAGCAAGGGATGCAGTTACGTAGATGCATCCTTCGCTCCGAAAATGGCAAGTAGGAACCACCATCTTTGGATTTATTCTGTGTAGCATGAAGCACCTTTCACCTTCCTCTTCAATTGTTTGGTGTCGTAGAATCAGCATCCCTCCCGACGAATATTGGAATGGTTTCGTATGAAAATCTCTTCGCAATGTCACGTGACCTTGGGATTTGGTAAAGAAATTTCCCATGGAGGATATAGTACATTAAGAAATATTTCCTATGTTCTCTGGTTAGATCCTTGTAGTTGGTGGTTTGTACTAACGCATTAAAAACGCTCTGAAATCATGATGGGCCTGTCATGTACTGACGTGCAGGGCAAAACTGTGTGGAGCTTCTTGCTTCAATACTTCGTGATGGAGCTAGTAAGCCCCAAGTTCCCTGCGGTTGACTGGAATGTTATGGTGGTGGGTAACAAAGGAGAAGTCTTGGGGCTTTTGTTTTCGCTGTGAACGTTGCATGAACAGAATGAGAATGGTCCACATGTCCGGATGGCTGAAACTTGTGATGCTCCTGCGGGGACGGACATCTACTTTAAATGAAGTATGAACACATGATCGATACAAGTTTGTACAGTTCGGTTCTGTTAATGTTGATGGCACATTCAGGGAGAATAGTAATGTTTTAAAACTTTGATCAGTGCATTTTGGAAGAGTGGTTTTCACAGCTCCGAAGTTGAAAAAGGAAGCTTGTCACTGAACTGCATTGGTATGCTTCCAACATAGATGGACGGTTGGTAGAAATGTTTGACAAGCAGTGATTGGTGGTAGGCATGGAAAGCATGGAAGTTGTTGGTTGATGAGAAAGTATATCATATTTCTCTACGAAGTTCATCCACTTTAGAATAGAGGGTGTGCATGCTATCAGATTTTCCTGATCTGACTTTTTATGTCAGAATTGTGGAATGAAAAGGTTACAGGTACATACAACATCGGCTGCTTGTTAGGTGTACACTGACTCCTTTACGAAAGTATTGAATTTTGTTTAAGGTGAAGAAACTGAGAGAGATGTGTTTTACCTACCACAAGCTTTTAAGATTTTTCCTCTCATGTATTGATAGTTGTGTGAAAACATGTTGCTCAGAGTGTAGTGGTAGGATTTATTCGTCGTACTATCAACAATGAGCAAAATGTGTAGCAATGGGCGGCACATGAAAAAGTAGTCATGATTTCAGTGAATTTATGCAGCTATTCTCACTTAATTACACTGCAACTGGTAGAAGTGTACACAACAGACACGTGACAATGAGACAATAATTGGCAGATGTGGTGCAAATGTGAAGGAAAATTCCGGAAAGTTATTTAAATGGTATACCAGTTATCAACAACATCGAGCACACATGGAGTAAGTTACTTCGAAACGGAATCCGAAAGCCATTGTTTATACTGAGCCAGCTAGTAGTTCTCTCCTCTGATGGATGCGAGGCTTCCAACCAATATTCTACCGAGACTGGGCAGAAAGCTAATAACGTCTCTCAATGAGAAAATGTGATAGGTCAAGCGGTGACTTATGATCTAGTCCTCCCTTAGAGGATGGCAGAGATAGGTTGCATTCGGTTACCACATTCAGCGGGCTGACAATGCAGGGGAGAGATTGCATATACTGCTAGGGGTAGTGATTAGAGGCTGAATGGGGAGATTCTCGCAAGTGCAGATCTCGATCATGAAACCATCAGGATCGTGGAAGAAGACCTGCTCAATCAGCACACCGTTCTCGTCGATAGTCTTTCGGGTAAACTTGATGCCGTGCTCTTGCAATGCTTGCTCTACCCCGAGAATAGAGTCGCTCTGTCCACCCAGGCAAAGGCACTCCTCTCGTCAGAACCATTACGCAGAAAAGTATGGAACTTCCATTTGACAACAATGGTCATGGTTATAGTGATGTAATAGATTAGAACATTTTGCATACCTGGAAAGATATGTGGTCATCTCTGCTGTTAATTTCCTTCTCCACTGGAGGAAGTGAAGAGAGCTCCTGGTTTTCAGCTTGCAGAAGGTGAATGCTGATACCATAGTTATGAAGCCTGTAAGAACATGATCACAAGTCGTCAACAACAAAGCAATGTGACCGTTTGGAACCCAAATAGTCATACCCTACTCGGATATTATGGACGCAGCAGTCAGAGTAACAGGAATCCATTCAACATTACGAAGTTGAAGCTGGTCGGTCAGAATGTGAGAAAGTTTTAAACCACGTTCTATCCTTACCATGCTCCGTCGAACTTCAGAGCATCAGGGCGGACGATGGGGATGAAGCCCAGCACCTTCTCGTAGAAGCGAGTAGTAATGTGGACGTTGCGGCAAACGCGAGAGACGTGGTTCAAGGACTTCAGCGGCAATGTTTTCTTCTCTTTCTGGACAGCCATAACCGTGCGTCCTGGTCTTCCCTTGATATAGCAACCTCCCTCCCGTCACTGCAGCTGTAAATTTCCCGCCTAATCAAACGCGAAAGGATTCTGGTATGCCCAACTCACTACCACCACGGATTGAGACCCCGTGAACTTCGAGGACTCTTGTCGACGTTCAGTCGAGGAAGACTGACACGACAAACTTAATGTTTACAGGCATAATTTTTGAAACCCCTCGGATGAAGCGAATGAATCCGGGGCAAGAATGGATTGTGCGCAGCGGTAGAAACAAAAGTGAGTGCCAATTGGCAAATAGTCTTGACGACGACTCTGGTTCGACCTGCACAGACGGGACGGAACAGAACATGTCGTAATGAGTTAATCATTGTTCTAGATACGTCACCAAGAATCATACCTCGACTGAAGAGAAAGATTGTGAACCGAACCACAGAATGCTCTACCATAGCTTCAGGGATCAGCAATCTACACGTAAGGACTCGTCGCCGTGCTATTTTTAGTTATGTCGAGGTGGCCACTGCCATTTCCTCGTGTAGTCGCACGAGATGGATATATTTATCAGCGATCGAATGACTCGCTGGAAAGTAGCAAATGAAACCAACCTAGGAAAACGGAATGTACCCGGGCCTAGTGAAGCAGGCCAAGGTCCGATGCACGAGATGAGCATTGTGTCCCGTGCGTAACATGTGCGTCGACGTAGGATCCATGATTCCACAATGGGTTTTCGTCGACTACGCAATGCACAAGCTGTGTGTGCACGGTAGATACTTGACCTCGGAGGTCAAGTGTGATGGCATGGCGTGAGAAAAATCCCGGACCTGGCACGGATGTCGTTGATGAATGGCTAACTGTTGTTCGACGGTGTTAGGAATTCTGTTGACGGGTGCATTCGAGGCAACATTCTGCAACACGCGATGCCCGTCTCAAAGCCTACGGGAGGAATGAAAGCGGAGTTCATCGCTACACCAGAGAAGACAATGTCCAACATATTATCACTAGCATTTTGTTTGTGGTTTGTTCATCTTATAATAAATGTGAGTCTTAACCGGATTCGGCAGTCAAGCTCCTGTGCAGTGCGTGCATCACTCACCACCAGCTGAATGTCAGAGAAGTTTTATTCTTCTCTTACATAATAATAATAAACAAAAAAAATCCTTTGAATGTGATTGACAACTATACGTGACTCCTCATCGAAAATGTATCTCTTCCTAAAGATTCCCTAACTTAGTACAAAATAATCATGAATTCCATCACCTCTACCCGTACCGCCATGCTATGTACCGGACTCAAGTCACTCCACTACACGATAGTCCCTTCCAACATCTACAACTGATGTGACAACACATTCAAAATTTGCAAACATCAAAACACAAGCTCCACATCAGCCAGGCCTCAAGGTACGCATAACTAACAAAATAGGTAAATAGGGCTCACAATGGAGGGGAGGGGGGTGGGATGAAAGGTGGCCCAGAAACCAACCAGTAAAGGAAACAGGCGATGGGCCGACCCAGGCAGGCAGGCTGGAAGCGGCAGCACACACTATTCGTTCTGCAGGCACCAGGCTCTCTCACTCACTGTCTCTGTGTATCACACACTCTCTCTCTCTCTCTCTCGCTCTCTCTCACTCTCTTTCTTTCTTTCTTTCTTTCTTTCTGTACCTTGCGGCGCTACCAACACTAAGTGAGGAAGTAGTGGGGAGAGATAGGTAGGAGGGAGGAAGGAGGGAGGGAGAGAGAGAGGAGAGCGTGCATACGCGCGAGCAGGAGAGGAAATTTTTTCTACTGCATGAGGGGGGGGGGGCGAGGGGTGATTTATGTGACCGGGACCCATGCCAGGAATGCCACAGTCGGGGAGCAAATTCTCGTGGGGATGGCATCTATGCCAGCCAGCCAGCACCCTCCCTCCCTCCCCCGAGTTCGCTTTTGCAGACCACCCTCGCGTGTCTTTTTGCCTATTTCGGTGCTTGTCCCCAACCTGGGGTGTGTCCAATCTCCACCCGCGTCATGCAACGGCAGTTAATGGAGCTCACTGTTTACACTGCATCCACCGTCTATTTGATTGTTTGTTTGATTGATGGGCGTGTAGCAGTGTGTTTACCCTTCGGCAAGTTGGTGATGGGTGGTTGAGATCAGCAGCTGTGTATGATTCTACACTCGCTTGAGATAACCAAACAAAAACCCAGCTTAGCTGCATTATGTTGTTTTCCTTGTGTTTACAATTACAGACCTTTTGTCACTTTTTTCCTTCTTTTTTTTTTTGTATCTTTTGTTCCAGACAAGGCTAATTATGCATGCTTAATTTCTTAAGGAAACATGGATTAAATTGAATAAAATTGAACTTTGATGTCTGATTCATGATGTATGTTGTTGTAACACGTTTCCATCTTTCTTACTTACTGTTCATGAGGCTTTTCAGTGGTTTATGTCACACATAATTATTCATGAGTTACCAAGTTGCAGGATTCAAAGGGACAAATTCCAAACAGGGTTAACTGGTTGGCCTTCATTTTTATTTTATTTTTCACTTAGCTACTCAGATATCCTTTATTTTGAACCACTTGTGTAACAAAAAAACTCACCTGTCTTCAAGTTAATATCCATGATGAAATTAAACTATTCTGCACACAAACATGCATGTTATAAATCCTTCCATCTAAGCACATCCTCATATTCAGACCCATGTTTTTTTTTACACAATTTCATTCAAATTCATGCATCCATCCACAAATTGAAAGGGGCTATTTCACATTCTCCAATGCTGAAACACTCAACTGCCTCCTTCAAATTTGGAAAGCAGAGGTTGTAACACTAGAATGGGATCATGGCACCTCCCTTTTTCTTCTTCTGCTTCTTCTTCTTCTTCTTCTTCTGTTTCTCCCCCTTGTGCTCACAAGGTTCAATTCCATTCTCTCTCTCTCTCTCTCTCTCTCCCTTTTGGATAAGTCTGGATTGTGCCATCAGTGTCCCATCCAATCTCAGGGAGTATGAACTCAAAGGCCAAGCCCTAATCAATCACCCATGGATGGATGCTTACAGCCATTAAAGCAAGAGCAGTAGGAGGAGGAGAAGCAAGACTTCCTAAGCTTGCCATCCTGCCATTTCTAACAAGGGTTGAGAACAAAGAGGCAAATGTAGGTACCTCTGAACTTTGATGATTATGCAAGATCAAACCAAACTTAGATGTAGAGATGTCACAGTTGAAACAATAGACAATACTCTGGCCACAAAACTTGAAACACATTTATCTCCTTTGCATACAAATCCAGGAAGGGAGAGAGGGCCCTACCCAAATGCCAGCTAGGCCATAACCACATCTATTCATGTATATGGGTTCAATGCCTGGAGGCTCATCTGAGTGGGTAAGTTTCAACCCATTGGGTTGGAACCAATCTTTTAGATTAAGAACAATTTTAAGTGAAATCATGAGCAAGAAGAGTCCAGAACATGCTGGAAATCCAGGGAGAGCCTGGATATCCCAGTGGCATACTATTCTCAGGGGACCAAAGGTGGAAAAATGTGGTCAGAGGTTGTGCTGGAATTGATGCTGAGAATGGCAGTAACCCAATTATGGGACTCTACACATGGAGATCTTCGTGTGTTTGTGAGAGAGGCATACAATTGGCATTGTATTAGGGCATCTCTCCCTCTGTATATGATTGGGTTCTGTCCTTGCTTCTGCTTCTCATGGGGGGGAAAAAAAGGATGTGACTCTGGGAGCTTGTGGTGTCTATTTCCCAAAGGGGGGGGGGTGTAAGACCAGTCAAGCCCAGTGTCAATCCAGCTTGGTCCAGAAGCTTCACCAATCATAGGCACAATTAGTATTGGCACCAGTCAAAGAAGCAGGGGCAGCAGCAACAGCAAGAAATCCCAGAATGCAATTCCTCAGCCCCCAAAAGAACACAACAAATGAATACAGAAAGAAAAAAATATATATATATCATTCATCCAGTTCAATGCTTACTACCAATGCTATCCTATTCTTACTTTTTTTACTGTTTTTCTTCCTCTCTCTCTCTCTCTACAAATTATAAACAATTAAATGGTTCATATATATATATATATATATATACAAAATTTGTGTGTTATTCTCAATGGCTTAAATTATCAATACTGCAGTTGTTAGTTTTGATACATATGTGGAGTTTGTGGGTCAAGTGGAACAATGGAATACTTGACTGTGTTGATCAATGGGAATCATTGGACCTCTTTTCTGAGATAATAATGTGCTCTTCATAGGTGGTAAATGCTTACCTTCTAATTGAGAATATTGTGTTCTTATCTCCTCTGATCCTGACTGGCTGTATAATAGTGGTTGTGTACTACTTGATGCAATGTAAAAGGCAGATTCTGCATGGAGATCAAGGAAATTCAAGAATATAAAAATCAATAAAAAAAAAAAAAAATTGTGGTGCATTTTGGGAGTTCTATATCCTAATCAGCAGATGCAGCACTTTAGAATGCTGCATTTGGAGTTGTAAGTTGGCTCTTTGTCCTTTTTCACTTCCATATTTATTTTCTTTTGAATGCCAGAGGTTTTTAAGAAGAGAACTGAGCTGGCTGCCTTGGACCACTCTATTTCAATTCATAATGTTATATCAGATCACATGAGGTCCACATGGGCAAAACTATTTTGGCTTGTTATTAAGAGTTACCAAAAGAAAACAATGAAGTCTTGTTCAAATAAGTGTTGATTGCCAAAAAAGCTTAGGATTTAAACTTTCAAACCTGTCTGAGTAACACAGTTGTTGAAGAACTTCAATGTTTTGCCATGTGACAAGCAATGTGAAATGTTGGGAAAAAAACCTTCCCAATCACCAGCTTTTGTTTTTAATCCACATGTACAGCCCCATCAAATGCTGCAGTTCTGAAATATAAATGCAACAACAGTATGCATTTAAAGCACATCAAACATCTTCATAGCAAAAGTCATCCATTTATTTAAATTTCCTTCAAAAGCATTAGCACTTTGTACAATTTATATGCACAAGAATGTCTAGTCAAAAGAAGCCCAGAGGCAGTGTCAGAATCTGGCTGCCATTCCAAGAGTCCAGCCAAATGTGGCATGTCTCATTTACAAACAGTTCTTATTTATATACTTGTATGAGTAACCATGATGCAGTGAATATGCAGTCATTGTTGTTGGCAACAAGAGATTCCTTCTTTTTAACAGGTATGGTCAGAAGCACAATGCTGTTCAGTTGGTGACAGCTAGATTAATCAAAATTCTCACATTTGTGTGGCAGGAGAGACCATTCAGAAAATTGGTCAGCATGTGTGAGTACTATGGCAGGGATTTTTTATTTGAAGTTTTAAAGGAGATAACATGGACTTTTAGGTCCTTGAAAGTTTTTGGGTATGTGTGTGTAATATCTTGTTGAAAAATAAACCAAGCATTTTAAAAAACTTGTGTAAAGAATAAATAAAGGCTGAACAGTTGCTGCAAAGTGATTGATTTCTGTAGAGTGTAAAACTGCTGAATGAGTGATATAGTTGTTTGTGTGAATTACAGTGATTTTGTGTTTTCAAAGCTTGATGTAAGGTCACATTCATCAAAGACCAGGCTGACTGTAATGCCTGAGACTTACATCCAGTGTTATGTATTCATTTTTGTATAATTTTTCTGAACAGGGTTGGAAAGAAAACTATAACAATTAAAATAAAAGGGAATAAAATAAATAAATAAATAAGAAGTTACTTGTATGTTATGCTTAAGGTTCAAATTGTAACTAGTCACCCAATATCCTTACACAACTAACCACATCCATGACTTCCAGAAAGTTCCTTTTTAATATCTTGTAAAAAGAACTTTAATGTTTATGAAAAAAATACACACACACACCCACACATATATATATTTATAAACCATGCTTCAGAATTTGAAAGAGTGCGTCAGTCATTTCCCCTTCATTGTTCCTATTTTATTATTATTTTGGGGATGAGAAAGGACAACTTTGACCAGGTCCGTACGCCTGCCGTATGTACGATCACGGCCCACACTGGCACCTGTTCCAAATCCAAATCTGGGTAGTTATCGTTCCGGGTGTCAATCGAAAACGCCTCAGCGGACGATTTCGGAAAGCAGTTTCCATGGCTTGTTTCATTAAGCCATTCATTATTTGCATTTTGAACTTTGGCAAGTTCATTAAGCCATTGTTACAGCACGACATCGATTAATCAGAGGGGTGGGAACTTCTTACTTGTGGAAAATATACATTTATTTCTTACATTTATACATGATTAGAGCTACATCCATTTTTCGTTTTGATTTTTGTAAATTTTTCTTGTACAAAAGATCTTCCCCGAAATTGTATTCATGCTGTTGCCAAAATGAAATAAACGTGAGTATTGGATTGAGACCAAGTTGTGGGGTTTATTATGAAACAGAAATAAGGAAGTGAAAGGGGAAGTAATGAGAGTGTTGATATATTGAGGGCCAGAAAGAAAGAGGGGCTAAATCAGCATAGATGAGAGGGATCTGAGGAATGGGATACAAGGCCCCCATTAATTGTATCCTTACGTGTGGACAAAAAGTCTTAGCTGGATGCCAGCTGGAATCCCAACAGCCATTAGGAGGTGCAGCAGGGAAATCGCGATATTGTGGAAAAGTAATCGAGAAAGGAAAAAAGGAAAAGGAAAAAGAAAAAGCAACGCGGGTTTCTCTCCGCTCCTTCCTCTCCCCCTTCCATGTGGTTCACTACGCTCTGGCAGACAATCCATGTGATTTCGGAGATCTGAGAGTGTCTTTCCATAGTATTCATGGACAATGGACTTCCGAGTCCCTCAGATGGCCCTCCATTCCTGAC